CCCCAAAACCCCAAAACCCCAAAACCCCAAAACCCCAAAACCCCTTTAGGTCGCTGGCTAATTGAAAGGTACTGGAAGAGTCAGAATGTGACTGGAGGTTTTATGATTGAAGTGGTGATGGTGGGAATGTGGGTAATATAGAGGGATGTTCATCTCCTTCTTCTGCTTCCTCGGTCTGCTTGTTTGCAAGGCATGCGTTGCCTCTATTTGCGATATGCATGTTTTTGAGAGGGACGGATACTCCTGAGACTTTAGAATGAATGTTTAGAATCTGGGACTCGATTCATTGTAAAAAGTGAGAGATTCTAGAAGGGTTTACTCCAAAATCAAAATTTCCTATTCTGGACTGGCTTTGTATTTCTAATCCGAGTGAGATTTCCTGTTGACCACCATAAGTCTCAGTGCACTGTATGATCCGAATAAACATATCATCAACAAACCCAAAGAATATACTTGCAAAATTAAGATGGAATTCAATAGGGTCGTCCTCGCTATCATTATTGCCAGGACTATGTTCAACTCTCAATTGAACTTGTTTGTCTGCTCAAGCAAGAATTAAGTCCCTTGTATTATCTACACCAATATGCTTGATTGTGAAACGAAGGTCAGGATTTACACTCGCAGCTCTATGATCTTCTCCAAATACTGAGATTCTTGCACACCCTTGAGAGTTAACTCATTTTTCAGCATCCATCTTGCTTGGATCTTTAAAAATAGCAATAAGTTTCAGCAGGATGAAGATTAGAACAAAAGTAACGAAGACAATATAAAGGATAAAGAAGAAAAGTCTCATATACATTTTGCTTTTCTTCATAGTTGGAAGACAGAGGCATTTTCTCTCTTTTTCATTTTTAGGAATTCTGCTCAAATAAAATGCTCCAACTAATCCTAACACAAAACTGACCAGGCTGGCAGTGAATCCAAAGAAGTGGGTAGAATTTATAAAAGCAAGGGTTGCACCTAAAACTGAGACCACACATCCAGAAGCAAAACATATTATTAATTTTTTATGGTAAAAACTTTTTGATTCAAAGGAAATATCCACTCCTAATCTCTGTAAGTAGTCGTCTTCCATTATAAATCTAAAGAGATATTATTATTATTAAATCAATAATTAATGAATAACTGGGGTTTTGGGGTTTTGGGGTTTTGGGG